GCGTAGCACCACCAGCTAACTTCTGATTGGTTCTTTGCCACGAGGCAGGCATCTGACCTCCTAGTGACCAAGGCAAGGTCAGGCAAGCACGTGCTAGGCTGTTATGGCTGCCGAAATGGGGAGCTGGAACCTTCAATACACTCTCTGGGCTGGATCTGGCTGTTATGTTTTTGTTTAAATTAGATATAAAAAGAGGGGAGCGCAAGTTGAGACATATTAGCCATTTTATTATAAGCCCGGCAGAGTAGGGAGACTAAGAGAGAAGAGAAACGGGGTAAATGGCTGACCGCCATGGCCGGTAGCCATAGAGAGAGAGAAGAGAAGCAGAAGCAAACAGAGCGAAGAAGCAGCAGAGAGAGAGCGCAAAGCAAAGAAGTTGGAACTTTCAAAGGGAAGACTGTGCATACGCACTGAGGTTCCACGCATGCCCAGAGTCCTCATGTAGGCTGTAAATGCATGGTGGGTGATGGCACGTCGCATGCCCTGACTGTTGTCAGGGGGCGGGGTCTGTCTCTCAAAGAGGTAGAGCTGATCAGCATTAAAGCCTGAACCTTTCACTGGCCACCCCTTTAAAACTGCACAAAAGTGTATTTTTTGTTTGTTTGTTTGTTTTTGGAGACAGGGTTTCTCTGTGTAACACCCATGGCTGTCCTGGAACTCATGCTGTGGACCAGGCTGGCCTCGAACTCACAGAGATCCACCTGCTTCTGTCTCTAGAGTGCTGGGATTAAAGGTGTGTGCCACCACTGCATGGCTTTTTCTTTTCTTTTTTAAAGATTTATTTCTTTACTATGTATATCATGTTCTGCCTGCACACCAGGAGAGGACACCAGATCTCATTACAGATGGTTATGAGCCACCATTCAATTGTTGGGAATTGAATTCAGGACCTCTGGAAGAACAGCCAGGACTCTTTTATTCCCCCCTCCCCCCCCTTGCCCGGAAACCAGAACATTTTATTTTATGACTGACTGAAATCCTCAAGATGAACTGGATGCTGCAACAGCTGCCCTCTTGGGTTTAGGTGTTGTCCCTTCATGGAATCCATGTTTGAATCTTCGACAATTTTTAGGTGCCTCAGCCACCCAGTTCCGTCAGTGTTTTGTCTCTTAGCCTTGGCACACCAGTTATACTTTCTCTTGCGCTTGGCAGGGTAGCCACATTTGCCATTCTGAAGTTGGTAGGCCTTAGAGCCACAGCGGCAGCACAATGCTTTCCAAAGGATGATGTTCCTTTCGTCATCTTGCTTCTACAGCTGAGGCCAAAGAGCCAGCCAGTACTCTTAACCTCTGAGCCATCTCTCTAGCACAAAAGTGTATTTATCAATTGTTACACAAAGCATTTCCCAATTCCAAGGTTCCCCATCTTAATCTACATATCTTATTGAAGGGAGCATCACATGTCTCCATGACTTTCATCCTTCATTAAGCATTGTGTACAATACACAAATAATACAAGAGCCTCTGGTGTGCCTGAGGTGTCCTGTGAGCAAGGTCATGGGATGGCACCCTCAGTAAAACAATCATTGGTCTCCGCTTGGATTCCTCAAGTCAAAGCACTCCTAAGAAGCATCTGTTTACTCTAGTCTCTATCCCATATAGTGATTTTGCTAAATTCTTACAGAGTACATTCATCTTACATGACTAATGAAGTTTCTGCACCCCGATTAGCCTCTCCACTGATGCAGCAATCCAAATCAGACCAAATCAAACTGAATTAGAAAAAGCCCACGTTGAATGGATAAAAAACGCTCCCACATGACTTTCCAAACTCCCAGGGAGGAGACTGAAAAGAGAGACTAGAAAACCACATGTCTATTTTCTGGGGGTCAGTTTAAATACCCTGTGGGAGTGGTCTTGAGCATCTCTGGGGGAGGGGTCATCATTTGTCGGGCTTCTGGAGATATGGCAGGGTTTGGAGAGAGATGAGGGAGGGGGTTTGAGGTGGAACTTCCATCAGAACATTCCAGACTCTCTAGGTATATGGTTGCCAGGGGTTGGGATGAAGCTTCTACCAGAATATCTAATAATAAAATCATCCCAATAAATCTCAAGAAAAAAACACAAAAAACAAAACAAAATTTATCCCAATATCCCATATACATTTACATCTTGAAGGGACCAGCTCCCCATTTCGGCAGCCATAACAGCTGAACACGTGCTTGTCTGACCTTGCCTTGGTCACTAAGAGGTCAGATGCCTGCCTCGTGGCAAGGAACCAATCAGAAGTTAGCTGGTGGGCTATGCTTTATGGCTCTGGGTGTGCTTCTTGGACAGGTGCACAGCAATGACACACAGAGCATAGCAACCACCCTGGGAGGGCCTATGGCCCATAACAACCAGTTGACCAATCAACACAGGGCAAGCCCTCCAAGCCTGGAGGCACACCAATGCTGAGCCTGTGCGTACTCCTAGACACTCCCCTTATGCTGCCCTTCAAGATCTCTATGCAGATGGTTCGAGCTGTCTTTCCTAGCCATCAGCCATGGTTGGTGGATGAAAGACCCGAGCTAACATGGGTTAGCTTGTTAAAAAACTACAATAAAGCCTCGTGCAGTTTGCATCAAACTTTCGAATCCACCTGGTGATTGGGGTGACCATGGTCCTGGGAAAAGATCCTGGAGGCCTGAGCTTTCCTGAGGTCTTACAATCTAAGTAACTTATTGCAGATCAATAGAGCATAAGCAGACAGAAATCGTCTCTTTACAGACAACTCTCTTGCTTGCTGGCAGGGTCTATTCAATGGCTACAAAGAATCAGTTATTCTATTGTCTATCTAGAAAGTTAATTTTTTTAATGGTTTTTTGAGACAGGGTTTCTCTGTATTATTTTGGAGCCTATCCTGGCACTCACTCTGTAGAGCAGGCTGGCCTCAAACTCACAGAGATCCGTCTGCCTCTGCCTTCCCAGTACTGGGATTAAAGGTGTTCGCCACCATGACCAGAAACATTTTTTTAAACAAATTCTTTTATTGTAAGAGCATTTTGTCTGCATGTATTTGTACTACATGTGTGTCTGGAGTCTGTGGAGGTCAGAAGAGGGCACTGGATCTCCTGGAACTGGAGTTACAGTTGTAACCCATCACATGAGTGTTGAGAACTGAGCCTTGCAAGCAACAAGTGCTACACCCCTGTTTTTCACAGAGCTTTTAAATGAGGTAATAGTAGTTGCTTAAAAATTTAAAAGGGCCTGCACTTACCCCAAAGGCCAGAACAATGAAGCCCAGGCTTTCTGGTATTTAACCAATGTACACTGTGAGTCTTGCCATGGCAGTTAAATCCTCAGGCGAGATGGCAGCCACCCATGTGTCACCATGAGGTATTCCACAACCTAAGCAGACATCATGACTTGCTCCTCTTCTTCTTCTTCTTCTTCTTCTTCTTCTTCTTCTTCTTCTTCTTCTTCTTCTTCTTCTTCTTCTTCTTCTTCTTCTTGAGATTGAGAATTATGCTATGAAGGCTAAGCTGGCCTGGAACTTGTGGTCTCCTGTGTCAGTCTTCCAAGGCCACACTGTAGACAACATACTGCACCTGGCTTTCAGCACCTTTTCAAAAACAGTGCCAGGGTAGGATCAAAATTCTTCTTCGGTGACCAATATCAATTGTATGGGAACAGCACTCAAATTTGAGTTTTCTCCTGTGATTTCCCCACAAGATGATTTTCTGGACTCCTAGGGTGTCTCAGTTGGGGTTACTATTGCTGTGATGAAACAGCATGACCAGAAAGCAAGTTGGGGAGGAAAGGGTTTATTTAGATTACCCTTCCATATCACTGTTAATCATCTAAGGGAGTCAGGACAGGAACTCAAACAGGGATCAATGCAGAGGCCATGGAGGGTGCTGCTTACTGGCTTGCTCTTTCTTCATGGTTTGCTCAACCTGCTTTCTTTCTTTCTTTCCTTCCTTCTTTCTTTCTTTTTTAATAATTTAGTTATTTTTATTTGCATTGGTGTGGTGCCTGCATGCATGTTGTGTGAGGGTGTCAGACCTTGGAGTTACAGACAGTTGTGAGCTGCCATGTGGGTGCTAGGAATTGAACTAGGGTCCTCTGAAAGAGCTGTCAGTGCCTTAACCACTGAGCCATCTCTCCAGATCCTCAACGTGCTTTCTTATAGAACCAAGAACCATCACCCCAGGGTGGCCCCACTCACAATGGGATGGACCCTCCCCATCAATCACTAATGAAGAAAATGCTCTACAGGCTTGCCTACAGCCCAGTCTTAACTGAGGTTCCTTCCTCTCCAATGTCAAGTAGTGTCAAGTTGACATAAGCTTATTAGGACACAGTCAGGACACAAGGACTCTGCTGTCAACCTGTTTAGCTCAACAGCAGTGTGAGACTGGTGGTTAAGATTTGTGGCATCTACACTGGGAGGTGGTGGCACACGCCTTTAGTTCCAGCACTCCGGAGGCAGAGGCAGGCGGATCTCTGTGAGTTCGAGACCAGCCTGGTCTACAAGAGCAAGTTCCAGGATAGGCTCCAAAACCACAGAGAAACCAAAAACAAAAAAGAAACGAAACCCTGGAACGGCATTAACTATCATACACTGATTATGAAAATCAAATGTGATCATGTGCTTTGGGGGCTGGGAATTTAACCCAGGCCTCTACCACGGAATCCCTCTCTGTAATAGTTATTTCGCTCCCTGTTCTTCCGTCTCTACGGAGCACATTCCAAGGAGACTACGTCTTCCAGCATGCCACCTCACCCTTTGACCTCGGCGCGACTAAAAAGGTGCGCCATCGTACGCCATGAGCCGGAAGACTCGGACTCCCGGCATGCAGCGCACAGTCCTCCCTTAGACAAAATGGGCTGTGGGCGCGT